ATTCAAGTTCGCGATACGGCAATCAGTCGATACGTGTCGATAGAGCGCGCTGCTGTATTTTTCGAATCGAGTTTCTCAACCATCGTGAATTATTCGCGAAGAAGAGGCGGCAAATTGCGATACGAAAAAAAATATTTGAATTTTGTATTATAATATTTATAGACAGCGAAATGAATATATACATATATGGAACGAGTTTATTCGTTTTTCGGGAAGATTGCGTTTCGTGTATTTTCGAAATTTTTAAATTCGTTACGAAAAAATTCGTGAGAATTTACAATCGTCACAAATTTAATATAACTCGGTATCGATTTAATGTTATTTGTTATTATTTGAAACGAGATTTATTCATCGAGATTAAATCGCGGGAAAGGAGGAATAAAAGGTGTGGGGACCGGTTTGACGTATAAAATTTACTCGGATAAATTGTTGTACCCGCCTGCGAAAATGTTCTCTAATTGTGTAACTTACGAATAAGGGACAATTTTCACGGGGGTGAAAATTTTCGAAGGGATAATTAAACTTCAATATCCAAACACGTTGAACACGATTGCACGCTTATATTATATTTAAACAAGAGTTTAATTTTTCCCCCCCCTTTTAATTTTTATCCTCGTTAAAAATAAAAAACGAAAAGCGAAATTGAAAAAAATATTACATCAATTTTAATCGCTTCTCGCTCGTTACGCAATTTTTGACTCGAGAGAATTTTTAATAATATTCTCTCTCTCTCTCTCTCTCTCTCTCTCTCTCTCTCTCTCTCTCTCTCTCTCTCTTTTATACTTTAACAAAATTTTTCGAAATTATAATTTCTGAAATTCTATCGTCATACGCGTTTGGATTTGGACATTGTTCGAATAATCATTGTACCCGTAAAATTAACATTTACGATTCTAACGTTGTAACTTTGCGTTAATATTAACCTGCTAATTATTGGGGACAAGTTATACATATAGATTGTTGCATTCATTGATAATATTGCAAAAAGAATTTTTAGTAACGACACATCGTACACGACGATACAAAAAGAATAAAAAAATTGTATTTAAAATAGGTAGAATGTAATATTCGAATAATCATTGCATCCGTAAAATTAACATTTATTCTAACGATTCTAACTTTGCGTTAATATTAACCTGCTAATCTATCGGGGACAAGTTATATATATATAGATTGTTGCATTCGTTGATAATATTGCAAAAAGAATTTTTAGCAACGACACATCGTACACGACGATACAAAAAGAGTAAAAAATTGTATTTAAAATAGGTAGAATGTAATATTCGAATAATCATTGCAAATTAAAAAATTAACATTTATTCTAACGATTCTAACGTTGTAACTTTGCGTTAATATTATCCCTGTTAATTATCGAGAACAAGTTATGTACAGGTTGTTGCATTCAGTCGTGATATTGCAAAAAAAAAAAAAAAAAGAATTTTTATCGTACAAAGAATAAAAGATTATATTTAAAATACGCGAAATACCATATCGCGAATTACAACGCGAATGTAGAATGTAATAAATTCTCGATATTTCGATATTTAAACGGGAGTTTGTTGAATGAAAAACGAAATAAATTAAATTAAATCAAATCAAACGAAATTGACTTTGGCGAATTCTATTATACTTTATTACTCCGTATATTACGATTATTTTGTCGCCGTAATTATTCCGTGTTTCGTTGCAAGTAAAAGTGTTTGCACGCATTTGTACACCCGCGTGCGCCAAACCTGTACGATTTATACTTAGGGCGAAATTAACAGAGAAGTTTTCAACTATGATGAATATTTACGCAACGTCTCGTATAAATAGCCATTAGTTACCCAGCTTGCATATCCATCTTAATTCCGTTCCAGGGCGAGCATTATAACCACCTTCATAACGTTCAAACGTACGATAAGACACGATGCGCAAGTTATGTACGAACGTTTCCATTCCAACCAACAAACACGTTCCAACGCGATCGTCTATCGCGATTCAAGTTTCATCGTTTCGAAGAATAACGTGTGGATATTCGACGAAAGATTAAGAAAATTAATATATTTCAATAAAATTTCTACGAGGAAGAATTTAGCAGATAACTATTATTATTAGCAGATTTTTATTCTGTATTTTTAAGTAAATTCGCAAAAAGATACATGTTGTCGTCGTGTATTTTAAAGTAGAAAAAGAGAAAGTATATCTTATTGGTTCATCTTATTGGCAATCGGTGTAAAGGAATATCCTTTGCAAATATTAATTTGTACGCGAGATTAGAGAAGTAATTTAACGAACCATAATATTCTTCTTCTTTGTAAAATGCGATTCTTTGTAAAACTAGTCTTTGTAAAAAAGATTTAACTCCTTCCTCCTCCCATTAAGCGAGTTACGAAACAACCGAGTTAACCAGTTTCGAAAGAGGAAGAGAGCCGAACAAAGAATCGTCTCGCGTAAAAATAATCCGACATAACGAGTTCAGCCACCTTCCCTCTTCGTATATATATTTTTTTATCCAATTTCCCCTTCGAATCACAGAAAAATTAAAGCGACGTTGCTCAGAATTTTGATAAAAAAAAAAAAAAAGATTTTTGATAAAAAAAAGAAAGGATTCGAAAAAAGAAAGATAGGTCAAAAGAAGAATATTCTGAGAAAGAAAACTGGAAGCGGAAGTTGGCCGAGTTTAATCGACGGATTTCGAATCGGGGAAGCCTGTCTCGGTTTAGAAGGAAAATGGAGGGCGGGGTTGGAAGAATACGTGATGTCACGGGAAAGAAAACTGTTTCCTCGGCCAGAACGGAGTTGGAGTTTATTTCATTTGGCAAATTCGATGAGAAAGGCTGTAACTAAGAGAGCGAGCGTCTTCGAGGTAGAAAGTAGGTTAGCTGGTTGCGTCGAACTAGACGGGCAGACAACCGCCTTCGAAATTGCGAATATCGGGTGGAATTTATTTCAACGGTATACCCTTCTCCTTTCCCCAATACAAATTGAGATCTCTCTCTCTCTTTCTCCCTCTTTCTCTCGAGGGGGATACGCGATATCCAGTCGCGTTCCGTCGATAATTTTTCCCTGAATTACTTTTAACAGGCTCGTGTTGCTTGTTGTCAAACCTTATCTCGCGACAGAATCGAGTAAGAAAGTAAGTTTCTTTGAGAACGAGGAAAAAGTTTGTGAAACATGTGGAGAGACGATCTCTTTTCTTCAAAAACCGAACAGCTGTTTAATTTCCCTTCTGAACTCGAATCGAGCCGAATTGTTACAGAGAAGATAAAACAATGAACATTAAGAGATTGGTTTAGAATTTCCAACGAAATGTCGTTATATTCACTGGAATAAAATTTACTTTCACCGCTGAATACCGAATCTTGTTTTTCACATACGATATTGCGAACAATGTGCAAAAATACCAACAACTGTTTAATTTCTCTTTTGAACTCGAATTGTTACAGAGAAGATAAAACATTAAGAGATTGGTTTATAATTTCTAACAAAATATCCTTATATTCACTCGATAAAATTTACTTTCACCGCTGAATACGAAATCTTGTTTTTCACGTACGATTTTGTAAACGTGGCATGCAACAGCTATCTAATTTCCCTTTTGAACTCGAATCGAGTCGAATTGTTATAGAAAAGGTAAAACAATGAATATTGGAAGAGATTGGTTTAGAATTTCTAACATTCGTTAGAAAGAATTATTAGAATTTCTAAATGTCGTTATATTCATTCGATAAAATTTACTTTCACCGCTGAATACGGAATCTTCACATACGATATTGTGAACAGTACCAACAACTGTCTAATTTCCCTTCTGAACTCGAATTGTTACAGAGAAGATAAAACAATGAACATTAAGAGATTGGTTTCTAACAAAATATCGTTATATTCATTCGAATAAAATTTACTTTCACCTCTGAATACGGAATCTTGTTTTCCACGTACGATATTGTGAACGTGGCGTGCAAAAGTAGCCAGTTTCGCGGGCAACGACGAACGTGGCCGCTCTTTGAAGATCCCCGTATGAAAAAATTACTCCTCCTCTCATTCGAACGCGCCGACTCCGGGCAAAGCGTCGCTTCGTGCTCGAATTCGTGTATCAGCATTTCCTCCGTTCCTCCGTTGGGGAGAGAATTCTGGAACTGTGCCGCGTAGTTTTGGAACAAAAGAAGGAGAAAGGGCGGCGTAAACGGGGCCGGTGTACGGAAAACTATGCGCATTCGAACGCGTCTCGCGTTGTCGTCGACGGAGACGTTGAATGAAAATTATTATACTCGTCCTATGTGCGTAATCTCGGCCGCAAATTATTCTCGATTTCGCGACCGAGAACCGAAAGAGAGAGAGAGAGAGAGAGAGAGAGAGAGAGAGAAGAAGAAGAAATTCGTCACTTTCCCCTGGCTCGACGCCACGTTCGGGTTAATTAAGCGAAAAACCAGCGCTCTATTTTTATGCGGGTTGTTTTGAGACGCCCCATCGTTGGGAGGGAGGGGATGACAATCGAGGTAACGAAGCGAGAGAGCGACGAGAGAAAAAAAGGCGATGATTCCCACGATAGTGGAACGAAACTGTTTTCAGACGATTCTAGCGAATTTTCTAATTCGTCCATTCTTTGAACCATTCGTTGAGTGCTTTTTTGCCAAATTGCTGCTGGAGATTATCTTATCTTTAGATCCAATTTTTTGTGATGTGTATCGTGAAGTTCATCTTTGAACGTGCATCACTATATCAAAATTTACTTTTAAATTCTCTCAAGTAGTCAGATATTTTTTCACGGAATTAATTTCGATGGAGAAAATTTTCGAACTTGTTCACTTCTTTATTTCCATTCGTCGTTTCTTTCATTGAATACACGACAGCAGTTAAAATTCTATCTCAAAGAAAAGGAAACTCGACTCGAAAATATCATTTCGTGCTTCCACGAAAATAAGGGAGGAAGGATGTCCGTATTTTTCCGTACGAATTAATCAATTATTAGGTAAATGAATAATAATAATAATAATAATATAAATAATAACGAAACTCACCGTCCCGTATCACGCCGCTTCCCAATTGCCTCCATTTGCTGAACGTGGTGCCGCCTTCGTCCGGCGTAACCGATCCGGTTGTTCCCGAATCTGGCTGCGTCGTCACCATCTACGAAAAGGTGAAAAATTATTATTTCCATCGCGAGTCGACAACAGTCGGATACCATTCCCCGCCGCGCTTCGAGTAACACCGATTTTCCAATTTTTCATCTTGACCTTCCTCGCCATTGATTCGATTACATTCGATTCCACTTTCCTCCCCTCTCGCTTCGAACTTATACACTTTATAATACGAGGACGAGAAATTATATTAGCAACTTCTGTTACTCGATTTCCAAACTCTCGTTTTCCGTTTTCTATTTCTCTATTCTACTCTGGATTTAAATTAAGTTCAGTTTTTGATCGCGAAAAAGACAACGGAAACGAAAAAAGAAAATATAACAGAAAAATGTTGTTTGTACAGTATACTAGCTCCGATTTTAAATTAAGCCAGTGCTTAATTAATTAAGAATTTATCTATGAATGAACTCGACAAATTTTCCTGCAAATTACTTAATCATGCAATGGATTTTAATATCAGTTTTGATCACTGAATTTGATACTTGTTACTTATCATTTCGTTGGAGAGGAAAAGTCTTATTACAAAACAACCAATAGCATTGGAGAATATCCTCCCTGATCTTATATTATTATTATCCTCTGAAAAGAAAAAAGAAAAGTTTTTACCGAGGAAGAAAGCTCGAGCACGAAACGTTTATTATATCTGTACAAATATAATGATCCCCATTTTTCGAAACTTGATACGAAGTAACTCCTCCTGATTCTCCTTATTGAAGCTATGCTTAAAGAAAGGAATAACGAATAACGAAATTCAACGAGAAATTCGATCCGAATTTCTTTCTCGAACAAAAACGATCGATTCGTTCGCGAATTCGAAGGGAATAGCTTTGGAAATAGGCTTCGTCTTGGTTGCAAATCAAGGGCGAGGTAGAGGATTATTAAAACAGGGGCGGTGAACGTAATTGAGGCTTGGCCCTCCCCCAACGCAATGGCGGCAGGGTCGATTTCAGAGGCCCTATCTCTTCACGGTGTCGCGATCTTCGTTACAAATGTGTCTGGCTTCGTTGGAATTTACGAGCGCGATGAGTGGTGGGCGTGTACGTGTACGTGATACGACTTTTCAATTGCTGGACAAGTTGTGTGGAGCTTGGTCCACGGCGCTGTAATTTTCCACCTCCGCTTATTCTTAGACTTATTAGAACCTCCCTGTCGTTCCCTCCGAAACTGTATACGACTTAGATTATTATTAGGGATTTTGGTTGAAGTTTCGCGAGAGGGAAAACAGGAAGGATTCTCTTCAAAGTTTTGTTTAATTTTAACCAAACAATTGTCGTATCTTTTGATCGATTCGTCGTTGTAAGATTTTTGCGCATCTCTCTCTCGATTGGAAGTCGAGCGTATGCAAGTTGTTAATTTATTTTTTTCTTCTATATAATTTGCAACATTAGGAAAAATTGAAAATATTTTCAAAGCTTTTCCTCTCCAACGAAATGATACGTAACAAGTATCAAATTCAGTGATCAAAATTGATATTAAAATCCATTGCATGATTAAGTAATTTGCAGGAAAATTTGTCGAGTTCATTCATAGATAAATTCTTAATTAATTAAGCACTGGCTTAATTTAAAATCGGAGCTAGTATACTGTACAAACAATATTTTTCTGTTATATTTAAGTTCGAATTGAGTGAGAGAAGTGTTCTGAGATATGAAATAAAGAGGAAAAAAATTGTTCTCGAATTTCTGTTCGAAAAGTCTGAAATCACCAGACGATCTCTCCTTTTTTATTAAAGAATCTTTTCGTCTTCGTCCTTTCTCGCTTCGAAAATATAACGGTACAAATAAAACGGTTGCTGTTGGACGACTTCCTTTTCAGCAGATATCCACACACACACACACACACAGACATATATATATACACATATATCCGTGGCAATGAAATCGTAATCAGTCGAAAAAGCGAAACGACTTATATTCTCTATATATTTTTCCTCTGCCCCGTTATCGAATAGCAGAAAAGAAGACTTGTTATATTACAAAGCATTTGGCGAAAAATTAGGAGGATAAATCGATGTTGTTTAGAAAGTGAGAGATCGGATCGAATAAAGCTTTCCTTTATTTTTTAAGAGACTCCTTTTTTATTAAAGAATTTAATTTAAAAATTAAGAATTTATTTTAAAATTAAGAATTTTATTTAAAAAATATTTAAAAATTTTATTAAAGAATCCGTTGATATTGGAAGCATGACGAGTGAACAAGCTCGTAACACTTTTAATAATCGTCGCTTCTTTGCCGTCATCCGTTTTCACTGTTCGGTTGTTCGAGCGTGCCCGATCTTCGATTCCGCGCGTCAAGGAGTCGGCATGTATATGTATGCCGTGTCTGCCGTACGAGGCAGCCATAAATTCAATCGAATCGCGCGGAAAATTGGAAAACGGTTAAACTTGGAAAGAAGAAACGCGTGCGTTTAGTTTATTGAATTTGATAAAATAAAACGTTCCCCCGCTCGCAAGCACGTCGTTTCGTTCTTTATTCGTGAATTATACGATTTTATCGTATCGAGTTTTGCAACGGTTGTGGACAAATTATTTATTCCAATTCATATTGGGATCCCTGATGTCAGGAATGTTGGTTGATGCATTCGTGAAGATTTGAAGATGCTAGAAGAAAATTGGAAATTGATTTATAGAAAAATGATGGAGGCTTGTTTATTAAGCGATTTAAATTCACGTTATGTGATTATACGATATTACAATTGAATTTTGTAATATTTATGGATAAATTATTTATTGCAATTAGGATACTGATATGCTATAAAATATTGCATTCGTGATTCAAAGGATCGATTTTAGAGGATCGATTTTAGAGAAAGGAAAGTTGATATAGAAAAAGAATGGTGGAGTGAATTTTGGATAATATTTATGGATAAATTATTTATTGCAATTAGGATGCTGATATGCTATATGAAATATTGGAATGCATTCGTGATACTTCGGAGGATCGATTTTAGAGAAACGAAAATTGATATAGAAAAAGAATGGTGGAGTGAATTTTGTAATATTTATGGATAAATTATTTATTGCAATTAGGATATTGATATGCTATATGAAATATTGGATTGCATTCGTGATACTTCGAAGGATCGATTTTAGAGGAAAGTTAATAAAGAAAAAGGATGGTGGAGTGAATTTTGTAATACTTATAGATAAATTATTTATTGCAATTAGGATGCTGATATGCTATATGAAATATTGGAATGCATTCGTGATATTTCAAAGTATAGATAATAATATAGATAATATAAGATAATCGATTTTACAGGAAAGTTAATAAAGAAAAAGGATGGTGGAGTGAATTTTGTAATATTTATGGATAAATTATTTATTATAATTAGGATGCTGATATGTTATATATAAAATATTGGAATGTATTTGTGATACTTCGAAGGATCAATTTTAGAGGAAAGTTGATATAGAAAAAGGATGGTGGAGTGAATTTTGTAATATTTATGGATAAATTATTTATTGTAATTAGGATGCTGATATGTTATATATAAAATATTGGAATGTATTTGTGATACCTTCAAAGGATCGATTTTAGAGGAACGAAAGTTGATATAGAAAAAAGGATGGTGGAGTGAATTTTGTAATATTTATGGATAAATTATTTATTATAATTAGGATGCTGATATGTTATATATAAAATATTGGAATGTATTTGTGATACCTTCGAAGGATCGATTTTAAGAGGAACGAAAATTAATATAGAAAAAGGTCGATGGCTCGTTTATTAAGTTATAACCGATTTAAATTCACGTTATACAATTATACGATATTAAAATTGAATTTTGTAATATTTGTGCATAAATTATTTATTGCAATTCATATTCGGATCTGAAGGATCGATTTTAAGAGGAACGAAAGTTGGTATAGAAAAAAAGATAGTCGATGGCTCGTTTATTAAGTTATTAAGCGATTTAAATTCGCGTTGATGATGAATCGAGAATAGAGGGTGACAATGATATAACGACGTACAAAACGATCACTCTTTCTTTCCTTCGCAAACTTCGATAACTTGACCTTTTCAGCAAAAAAATATATCAACAGCTATCTAATATCAAGTAAAATAAAATATTATCAATCTTTCGTTTCTATTATTAAAACCTTCTCGATTTGGAATAATTTTAAAAAAAGAGGAAGCCAAACATATATCCCTCTCCGTATCTCTTTATTATAAATACCTCTCGATCGACATTCTCGTATATATATATATATATTTTCACCCTTAAAATCGATAGCCTCAAAAGATGTCGTTACACACAAAACGTAGTAAGCACGGTGGCGTATTTAATGTAATCCCAAAAGACCGAGCGTGATAGAAACTCCGTAACGCGACATCCACGATCTTGGCGAGTGCAATTATCTCGTGGATGATAGCGGGGGGGGGGGGGGAGAGGGGGCTCCGAATGGCGGAATACACGCATACAGGTTCACGGAGGCGGAACAACCGGCGGCCCACCTCTGTCCCTCGCCCTTCGATCCGCAGAGAGCAGAATGGGAACGGGGAGGGGGGGTGAGGGGGTGAGGGCGGCCTCGGCTTTTGGGAGGATTCCAAAGAGGCCAAGAGCGCGCTATCGTAATCCCCAGCCGAGCGATCCCGGAATCCCGGAATGCAAATTCGACAGGAATATTAAACGGCCGATATTCTACAGTGGCCTTCTCCGATAATGCATGGCCGTGTATGCATCGCCGCCATATGGGGCTGTTGTGCCCCGCGTGCTTTTGTTAGGAAAACGAAAATGCGGTTGAACCGTGACCTTTCACCGGTCGAAACCTTTGAAACGAGGTACGAGCATGCGTTTCGAATAACGCACAACTTTACCGCGAAAACTGTAAACCATTCTCTGTGAATGGCGATTTCTATCGAAAAATGCCCGTACGAAAATTTGCATATCCGTCTGCACTTTTTTTTTCTCGTTTTAACGCGTTCTCGATGATAGTCAACTTCTGATGTCGCGAAGAATGTACTATAAAAATACTATCCAAGCATT